AATATATCTTTAGATTTACTACAATATTTCTCTGTAGATATATATATATATATATATATATACATATATATATATAAAATTTGTTGTTGTATAGCTTATTTCACGATTTATGTATACTTAAACAATTAGTAATAGTACAATAATGTCTTAAATGTTTCGTAACCTGTAATTCCAAATGCTACAGCAAAAGTTATCGCTCTCAGGGGTTGTTGTTGGAAAATTACATATGATATAGTGTGACCTATACGGGAAAGTACAAAGGTTTGTATCAAAGTTTTGGCTAACCATGGTGAAGGTCCTGTTCCTAGCCAAAAGTATGTGATTATGAACCAAGGAAGAACGTTTTCCAAATCGTTCAAGTGTGCTCTACGTACACGCTCCACATCTGGATCATTGTAAACAGCTTTGCCTTTACTTAAGACATCATCTTCTGGACTTGCCAGTACCTGTAACAATTAATCATAATCAGTTTCATTTTAGTTAATAAATTCTGATGTGACGCTAAAACAGTATATATAATTCTCCAAATTTTTTACAATGTCATTCTAAAGAATGAAAATTGAATCAATCTTGAAAAAAATGTCAATTTTCAATCTTTAGAAGTAAGATTTCATTCTTTCGAATAAGATCTAAAGGTTTTAGAGAGAGAGTATAAAGAGAGTAAAAATCTGTCCCCTTATTAATTTAATTAAGAAAAAATATATGTATAATATATATATATATATACAGACAAAAAAATATTTCTGCAACTTTTAAGAATTTAAATGTTTAGATTATTTCCTGTTTCAAGTTTAGCGTTTTTAGTAACAATCAGCCTCATAAATATTTATAACAATTTAGAAACTCTTCTCATATACATAATAGCTATTCTGTTCTATATCTATGAAATCTATTCTATATCTTAACGAAAAAAATCATGGGCCTAATATTGTTATCTTATCTGGAATGATTATTTTATTACTCACGTGTTTTCGAAGTCGCTGTCGTGCAGTTAACAGTACCATCATCAGCATTTTTAAAACCAAAATGCTACTCCAAAAGCCGAATACTTTGAGCACTTCTGGATTTATTTCAGACATTTTTCATGAATTTCAAATTTCTTCTCAAACATATAATGACTGATGATGGCTCTGCCCCTTTTAAGCTGTACACAGTTAGAAATAAGATTGCTCGTTTGTGGTCGACACGTTTTCTATTTCACTTATCACACACAGATATCTAATTCCTATATATATATACTATAGATTGGCTGTGTTCTGCAGAATACAACAGTTTTGCAACCGTATTACGATTCTCTGCTGAGGTAGGATCATTCCTCTTGATCTAAAAGCATAACCCAATCAACGTGAAGAAAATTTCCAACAGTTGCAAAATAAACGTTCTGCTGAACACAGCCATTGTATCGCGATATTTGTCTAGTATGTATCCGGCAAGTTTGACGAGTAATGCTGTTAATTTTCACATAATGTAAATCAGCAAAATTTTACACAGTGGAAAAAAATATTTTTTCCTTTTAATTATATATTTATTTACTAAAGTAAAAAAAATCTCATGAAATATTTTTTATCTCATAGAACAGATAAAATAATTATTTCGACACATGTGAAGCACAGGAATACGCGCTCTGAAACGTATTGATCTGCTATAAAATTGGTATCTTAAATTGATTTTAAAACACGATAATTTAAATATGTAACTTTAATATGTATGTATAATCAATTATCGAGTTTTTATATTTACACCTGACAGACTTAATGCTACAAAATTGCATAAAGTTTCTATAAATAGTAAAATATTTAAGCTTTTAGCCCCACTTGTAATTATCTGGTTACATTTAAGGTAGAACACATTTTCAGATTTCGAAAGAAAAGTGGAAAAGGGGTAAGTAAAGTAAAAGCTTTACAAATACCAGCAAAATTAATTAAATTGGCAAAAATTACATTTAAATTGTAATATTTATTTATATTGAATTCTCAATTTTATGAAATAACCAACAGAAAAAAAATCGCTTAGTCTTTTCCCAAGTAATATACCCTGATATATTCAAGAACCAAAGGTTAGAACATTTCGAGCAATCTGGAGCATCACTTTGACCTAGCCAGACCTGTAGCAGGATTATTTAAGGTCTTTACACAATAGAGTCGCAATTCGTAAGTTGTAAAAATTAACCAATCATAGTCGATTATTTTTGTTATATTCAATTGTGATTGGTCAATTTCTTACAGCTTCCGAATTGCAACTCTATTGTATAACAAACCTTGACGTCTTATCGATGATTGGGTCCAGAATATGGGCCCAGCAACTGGCTTATAATCTCTTACGTCTACATGCTTGTCGGCTTCGTTTAGAAAACGCAACAGCGTAGCGTTGAAGAACGAATCACGTGTGATTGGTGTATACATTCGGGTCGATCAATCCGATTAGTCCCTTGTGAGTGGTTGCATTCTCCACGTGCACGTCGACTGGTCTCCCCAGTCACCATTTGGCCAGTAATCTTTTAGAACACTCCTTCGGTATACTCGCTCGATGGAAACTCTCCGTTCACACGATATGATCTGCGAGGTGAACGTTCTAATATTATCGAGGAAGGTTCTCGAAATGGTTACGTGTAACGTAATGAAAACGCGTTGCCGATGATAGAACTTCTCGACCAATTCTACCATTTTAACTTAATTCTTTTTCCCTCGCCGTTTTTAATTAAATAAAATTAATACAGTTTCTGAGCAAACAGGTCCGTACAGTCTCTTGGAATTCGAAGAAGGATCGAATGAGAATAACGGGATCAACCGAGGCAACGTTTCTTGGTACCGAAGTTTTACATCTTGATTGGATACTTGTTTTTTAACGGGGAAAAAGCGGGATATTATTTATTATCTCTTTCATCTTTCAATCTAAGTAATTTCGATTTTTTTAATTTAATTTAATTTTATAAATTTGTTCATACCGCGCAAGTAAGTTGTCCGTTTCGAACGGAGCACGTCTCGCGCTTGTTTTCCGACAAATCTTAATCACGCTCCCTCGAAGACCGAAGGTGGTTTTTAAATCGAGGGATTCCAGCAATATCCAGCCGAGGAGCCGAGGAGAGCGGATGATCGCGCGTGCGCGACCGTCATCGCTGACGCAAGGGAGTACGTCAGCTGTTTTGTTAGACTTTCGCGGCGGATAGACGTGCGTGTGCGTCCGTCATCGTCGTCGTCGTTGTCGTCGTCTTCGTCGTCGTTGTCGTCGTTGTCTTCGTCGTTGTTGCCGTTGTCGTGAATACTGTTGTATTGTTGACTTGGAGGGGCATCTTTCTCTCGCGCAACTTTCGTCGTCGCACGGCAACGGGCTCTCGCGCACCTTTGTTCGCCGTGGTTCGCCGTACGCGCGCGTGAGAAGGACTGCGTGCGCGTTTCCGGGCGATTCTGCGTGCGACGGAGGAGTCGTGCGGACGCGTTCGCGACGACTCGCGTGTGCCATCATCGGACTTGCATTGCGCTCACGCTCGGATACCTCTTTCAATTCGGGTGTTTTCCCGATTGATCCCGCGGGACCTCGGTCGTAGGTTTCACGCGTGGGAGACGTCCGTCCTCGGACCGTGACTATCTACCTAACGCGACAGGATCGGGACGTTCTCGCCCGCTCACACAGTGATAGCTATATTGTGATACATCGGCAGAGAGAGAGAGAGAGAGAGAGAGAGAGAGAGAGAGAGAGAGAGAGAGAGAGAGGCGCGTAGAGTGAAGACATGGCACAGCCGACGAGCAGCGCGTTACGGGCGCTCGCCCTGGAGTACAAGAGCCTACAGGAGGAGCCCGTCGAAGGTTTCCGCGTCAAGCTGGTCAACGAGGACAACATGTTCGAGTGGGAAGTCGCGATCTTCGGTCCGCCCGACACTCTCTACCAGGGCGGATATTTCAAGGTACCCCGCTGTACCCCTCTGTGCTGTTTACGGTGTGCATAGGTGCGCGCGTGTGTATTTACGCGAGTCGCGCCGAGCATTTCGAGCAACGGCGATATCGATGTTGGCTCCGCGTTATCGTATTTATACGCGCCTCGTCGGTCCCTTCTTGGTTATGTCGCGTCCCGTTTTCCACTCCGTCCGAGGCCGAGTTTAATCGGCCTAAAACTCCACGGAGAAGATTTCGTTCACCTCGAAAACGGTCCTTCTTATTCGCGTTATCGTCAAATAAACAAAGGCTCTTTGTACGAGCTATGCCTTTTAAATATGTTGCATGGCGACTTATATATATTATTTCATTTTTTATGATAAAACATGGATAACGCGTAGGATACCTTAACTTGGCGCATATTGTAACTCGTTATTGACTACCGTTTCGGTTTGCCAGTAAATCCATACGTATACAAGTACGGATTCTATTCTTGGTATTGTGGAATACTTATCGCCGTGTGATATCGCCAACATGCATTTGCAACATGTTGTATCCCATTTTGCTAATACTAGAAATATCTGATATTGAAAAAGGTAGAAAGTTTATATAAATTTGACATATGATTGATAGATGTAATCACAAAGATTAATCGCAGTTAAATATTGAATTAAAAAATCATTAACGTTTGCACAGCTGAACTGTTTGTATTTATTATTCATCCTTTGTGAACGATGTAATTCGTTAATAATTATTAATATTTCGACTGCTGTAATTTACAAGACCACTTTTTTTAATCAGTTTGCGATTTATTTTTGGAGTCAAGGAAATAAATTTTATTTTGTTTTGTACCTAATTAAAAAACAAATTTTTTTAAATTAAAAACGACAGTTTAAATGCGTAAATTGTTTATGTCGAGAAACTGCGTTTCTGAAATGTGGCTTATAATTTGCATTCTATTTTCATAAATCAGATATTTACATTTTGTGATCTATATTGTGTTGTCTACTCTAAAAATGAGTTATTTATTTATCTGTTTAATCTTAAGAAACAAATATTTTTCAAAATAAATTTAAATAAATTTAAATTGTTACATTGTAGACATTTCAAATTAATAAGACGAGGAAACAACAATCAATGCCTATCTGTCAATCAATGCCTATAATTAAACTCGATAATGAAACGATTCGAATGATCTGTTTTATCGTCGCCAAATGTTTGCACGTGTGACAATGCGGATTTCACGTCGCCGCATACAGCTCGAGCGTACCTTGTTTCCTATCCTTGAGCCAATGTTTATCTCAGAAACTAAAGCGTTTTCCTGCCAAGTGAATTCTAACAATCACACGCGAGTCATTGAGACTACCTTGATGATATCGGTTGATGACAATGCTGGCTTAGACATCTATTATCTTTCCCTTTTCTTAATTGCCGAAGATTGATTATTCTTGCATTAATATTTAATAAAATTACATAGGAAATAATAAAGTTAATCAGATAATAATTTTTTTTAATTTGCAATATTGACATTCTGTCTTTTCTCTCAAAGTCATTTGAAAATGTTACGTCTGACTGTGAAAAATATGTGAAATGTGAATGCATGCGAGAAAAAGATCGAAATGATTTTTCACTTCTGACGTCATGAACCAGCGCGATTGCAGCAGCGAGGAGGCAAAAGGGGCTTTAATGCTCAGCCAGGTTAAACGCCAGACTGTAAAATGAGTTCTGTCATTGCCGGCGCGGCTACGAAGTTTTTTGCATGTCCCGTCCGCTTTCTAAACCACTCTCTGCCTCGTCGTGAACGAGTGAACGCCTATTCACGTAACGCAACGTATCTTCCCACAACGTAACCGACAATAACGAGCATGGCGTTTCTTGCAAGCTGTGTACACGGTGTACACCTTGCGCATGTAAATCCCTCTTCGTGGTTATTTCGAAAGACTGCGTCCACTGCTCCGCTCGAAGCACTGGATTAATCTATTATCCATTTTACCGTAATCGTGTTAGACCTTAATCGGTGAATGCTCGCGTTGTGCTGTGCTCAGGTAAACAATCGCTTTCATCTTACGCTGCGTTTGAGATATCTTCGTGAATGAATAACTTTACGTACTATCGTTTCATTATTTTAGAGGGGTACGAAGTTTCTCGCCTTTATTATTTATGGACTTTATCTGGTTAGTTTGAAATCAATTTTTTCCGTTACGAATATTTTGCGAGATCAAATGGCTGATAAATTTAATTGTTTCGGGTTTTAGCTTTATAGATCAAGTTTCATAATGCAAATTTATACAAGACTTTATACCTTATTTAGCTTGAGATAAACTTAATTTCGCAGAACACTAAAAAAAAAGCAACGTAACTATAACGGAATATAACGAGGCTTATCAAAATCGCGAAAGAGCATTACGTCATAATACGTATCGATGATACGAAACAGAACGCTGAAAGAATTGCGTATGCATATAATCTGATCTCGGATCACGCCTCCTTCTTTCATTTTTAATGATCGCTGCCTTTTAAAACGAAGCGGAAAATTTCAATCTGACTTGAATTTATGTTTGTGTATTCGAAATGTACGTATGTTGGCACGCGATACCTAAATATCAATGTCTCTCTCTTGCATTTTAATAACACATGACGGAGACATCGAGTCTCGTATTTTTTCGGTCGTAACGACGCTCCTGACGATCTTCTCGCAAGATCACGTTCTACTTATCGAGAGCCTCCTCTGTCCCCTGATCAAAATTTATGCACGGCTCGGTAAAAGGTAGCCGATACGGTTGCCAAGTTACATAAAATGCCATCGAGCATTGTCTTGATTCTATTTCTGGTGCAAACAGACCTTTACCGATCGGCACAGCCGACCAACTTTCACCTAATCTCATTCCGCTAAGACGATCGTTCGTCGACGATTCGTCGTCGGTGCACGAAAAATCGATTCGCTATCTGACGAGCTCACGATTTTCGACGCAGCAACTTCGCCATTTCATTTTCCACGAAGTCCGTCTCGATCAGACTTATCCTTTCACCTCGTGAAGAGATGGCGGGCATCCCACTTCGCGAGTGCCACAACTTTTCGCGATAATACAGCTTGGAATCGATAGTCAATATATCGCGAATCTTTAGAAAAAAGTTGCGGTTGTTGATTTATTCGGATCCACGATTCTAAAAGGAAAAGTATTTGTTATATCTTACGCATGACGAAAAAGCTAAAAGCTTTCTTCTTCTTTCTTCTCATGAATTATTACGCGAAAAAACTTGATTATTACAAAAGAAAATATGGTAAACTTTTACAAGTTACAAATTACAGATTTTATCCGTATAAAAACGTACATAATCTATCTGTGAAATTTATAAATAAAAAGGATTTACATCATAGTCTATAACACATAAAAAGATAGATAAAAGAGCGATCGGATAATTAGATTTTGAATAAAATATTGTTATTACCTCGTCTCTCTAATTTCATTTTTAAGCTAAGAATAGAATAGACTGAATGACAGTCTCATTTACAAAAATGCCTAATCGAATTGATCCGTCGTCAGGCATGATACGACTCGATAGTTTTAAAAGTTGTCGCCTAACTCACGTTACACAACGTCGCGTTACGATGACCACAGTTACTTATTGTCGAAGTAGGTCGCGAAAATTTGTAGGTCATACGATGGAGTTGCGACGAAAGATGTCGAGGTGATAGTTCCATTCCGGAGCAATCTGCAAAACACACGATTTATAATTTCTCTTCTGCAAAATCGGTTTTTGAGACGAATAGCTGTTATGACGTTAGAAAAATTCTAGTAGGATTTTGCTATAGAAATAGAAAGTTTGTATTAGAGACATAATTCACGGAATATTTCCTGGCATAACAATGGCATATAAGATCGCACGCTGATAATTGCAATCAATATTACGGTATCGCATCGGAAAACTTGATATGTATTTATTTATTCCGATGAGCGTCGATTATCAGTAAATAAGAATTACAGAAAAAAATCCATTTTTTATTTAAAAAAAAAAATTTATAGTAAAAGTTGAACATATACGAGAAGGACAGTTTGTTAAAGTAAGCTAAAAATTTAGCTAGGTACAGATCTGAAAATAATTTTGTTGGATCATGTAGGACGCTTAAAATGGTTGTTAGACATTTTTGTAGTATTGCTCATCATGCTTTAGATTTCTAATGTAATTCCGATGTAATTATTTTCATAATTATTACTCACATAAAATTATTTTTACATTTGTTCAAATTTTTAGATACCTTAACAGATCATTCTTTTCGTAGTTTATTAATTATCACGTTAAAAAGATAAATGGAAAACACATTAAGAAGAATAGAATCTTTTCAATCATGAGTCAGCAATTTCGTTGTAGTTGAATAAGCAGTTTCGGAAAATTGGTTGTAACAAAAATAGTTACAACGAGACAATTTGCGAGTACACGTGGAGCAACGCGAATCAGTCTGAGTAGAATTTTCGTGACACTGCGTGTAAGCGTGTAGTCGGTAGAAAGTAGGTTAATTCTAGAACGCGGTTATCCCGGAGGACGAGGTGGATATTTGGGCCATGACCAGGTCGCGATCAATATAGCGTCCCCGACGACGAAGCTTGCATCGAACAACCAGATACCCCTTTCGCGCTTTGGAATAGAAATCGATATCGTTGCAAATTCCCTTGGAGATTCCGAACCCGATCGAAATGTCGAATCTTATCGATGTCGAAGCCTGCGCTCCGATTTTACATCTTGTCTCGTTATCTCGGTTACGTTTCTAAACGGCCATGTTGTTCCACTTTCGTAACATCGGAGAACTCCGATGTGTTTATTTACAGGTCATCGTAGAGTGATTAATTTTTAGAGCGTTAATTTTTCTTCTAATCAATTTAAATAACACTTTTTTTCCATAATGTAAGAAATAAGTTATTGCCATTAGCCAATTTTCAACTATACTTTGTACATCGTTATAAATAACGGAACAAAAAGTTTATGTGAAATTGAATCAGGCACGAGCTTAACATCAAAAAGTTTGCGATAATTTTTCGAGGGCTCGCATAAACAAGTACTAAAACCGGTACAACTTCGGTGGGTTGACTAATTTTGGTGGTGTACGCACACGCGGGAAAATTTCCCACGTTGATCGTGAGAATAGAACCGACGGTAGATATTACTGGCGCAACGCACATTTTTCCGCACGTGTGTAGCGTTGGATATTGAACTCGCTGAAATTATAACGGTTTCAATCCACGTCGATATACATATAGATACGTAAGCGAAGGCGCGTGTCACGTAGACTACGCGTGGGCGTCTCGGCGACCCGAAGCCGAGTCGAATGTCGAGAATATACCTTGACGAGACTTAATTCGTTATGTTACAGGCACACATGAAGTTCCCACCGGATTACCCGTATAGTCCACCGAGCATTCGTTTCATGACAAAAGTTTGGCATCCGAATGTATATGAGGTGAGTGAATATATACGAGAATTATCGATCCCCCGCGTATGCTCTCTCTACCCATTTCGACCCTTTCCTCTCATACGTGTGTACGTGCGTATCCTCCCTTGCGTCCCTTTTCCGTTCATCTGTCCCCTCTCCCCCCCCCCTCTCTCTCTCTCTCTGTCACCCTGCTCTCGCCGCGCTCTCACCGTCTCTCGCTGTATAACGACCGTCCCGCTCTGTCCGCCTCTCTTTATCTTCCACCCTCCGCCGCCATAGCTTTTACAACCATCAGCTTTTACATCGTCACTTTCAGCGCTTGTGAAACCACCCGGGCCGTCCAAACCCCGGGCCGTCGTTACCATCGAGACGCAACGGGCGAACGGATGGGAAAGGGAAAAAAAAAAAGAAAGTAAAAACGGTCAACTCGAAAAATTGCACGTTACGTAGTAGTTTTCGCCAGAGGTTGCATTCATATTGATGTATCACCGCCACCACATTCTTGGAACGTCCGGCCGTACTATATTTATCGCGAGCCACACGTCGTCACGTTCGACGTTTGTAAAACGTCTCTGAGATTCCTGTTCTTCCGCCATATCCATCGGCATTGCGAATTTGCGTGACGATTAGCGGGAAAACGACGAGACAAGTTGGCACACTGCTGATAATACGCGATGTTTTTTACGAGGACTGATCGTCGTGTTGTTCGCCACTTTAAAAGGTCGAAAGCACGACCGTTTCCTGTCTGTCACGCCGAAGTACTGCATTTAAACTTCGCTCTCGCATTCGTTCGTTATAATATTGTCCGCGCGAAATAAAACGTCGATTAAATGTACGAGATTTATTAAAATAACTTTTCGAGATCGTCCACGTTCTTATAGAAGTATCACACAGCTAACTTGCTCTCATGTGACCAATAGGTACAGGTATATAAAATATTAAGATTAGTACAATATTTTGCGCGAACCATATCATTCGGAGTATCGTTTGAGATGGAAGTATTCAGCGGGGATTGAGAATGCATTTCCGCGTTCTTCTTACATATTGCGATGGAGTATCATTTGCGTTTGTACAAAAGTATCGCATTCCCACACTGCTTATCGACCTCGCCGCATCTCTTGCTCGCTGTTCGTCGTATATGACCCTTCGGCGGCTAGCGAAGCGAAGTCAATGACCGTCGAAAGCCCGCGTGGACATCCATGTCCACTCGTCCGTCGTCGATAGGGATGGTAACGACGAGAACGTGTTATGAGTAACGAGGCAAACACGAATACTTTTTTTTTTTAAAGGTCTGGACTGTCGAAGAGAGGATATTGAAGTTTGTGAATTGTAGACTAGTTACTCTCACAGTTACTCTCTTGCCTGCAAACTGGACACGTTTGTAGTATAGTATGGGATTAACTGTAAAATAACATATATAGTTTACACGGAGAAAATTTTATATTAAGCTTTAATACAATTTTAAATTACGCTTTAACTATGTCTATGTATTTTCGATGAACCATCACAACATGATTCCGACATAACTTTTACTATGATAATACTAATTTTTATCACATAAATAAAGTAATTTTGTTAAAGTGCTTAAGTCGTATTCTAACATGAAAACAGTTAATTTTTACTATGGTACTCAAACAAAATTTGCTAGGTATATATTTTTTACTTATCTTTACAATACTAACTTTGATTCAACAAGTTTTGATTTTGTAATAAAAAATGTTTACTATGAAAAAGTGTAAAAATTACGTTTTTGTTTCAAAAAAATAACTATAGCATTTAAACTTATAATTTACATGATAATCCGCAGCTACTACCACGTTATAGTATTTTAAATATATAATTTCAAATATAAAAAATTTTCTCTGTGTATATGTGTAGTAGTGGAAACACGAATACGAATATAAAATTAAATATTTTAAATCTGGTATCCTAAATCGCCGTTTACTTCCTATCTCAATTTGAATATTCAAAATAGTTGACCTGTTTGCTAATCGATTGATAAACCGAACAACTTATCTTTATGTAACTGTAATTATGTATCATATTTTTTACAAATATGGTATTTCTCTTTTCTATCATATATCTAACGCTAAATGTCCGTTTTATTTGTATTTCAGCACATTTAAATTCAAAATATATAACAAAATCTTGTTTCTCTGTACGTCGTCTTTATTTTTTTCCGCGTGATCATAGCGAAGCCACTAACTGTAAAGTGAAAATCAACGATCTCTATATTCAGCGAGATAGACCGTAAAAGAGTAACTCTCGGTACAAAGGAGATTAATCATACGCGAAGAATCGACTTATCTCGCTTTTTCTTCACCGCGTGAAATTTTATTTCGATGATAATCTCTTGCGCATTGCGCAAATCCTCGAGAAAACACTTACTTCAATATGTAGAGGTTCTTTCGCAATCGAAGCAGACCGTCGTAGAAGGTTTACTCGATATATACCGCATGGCTTAACACGTATACAGTTCGCTCTTCTCAAGCCCAACTTTCCCCATCGTGAAATTCATATTATTCGTAGGCGTGTGTATCTTGCACGTTACGCGAATCTTCCCTGATCTTTTTCGTCGGCACGTAAAGTAATGTACAGTAATGTACAGTAAATACGATAGACATTTTACATACGT